GGAGTATAATCCAGTGAAAGAAATTTGGGAAGAGAAAAAAGAAAGGGATATGAAGAATTCAGAAGATTAGAATTTGGAAGAACACAAAGAGTTGACGCACCTGTGCACACCATTGCAAACGATTTTGAGCCATGTCACATTCAATGTCTGTAACCATCGGTTGCTGTCGCCTCGCGGACCCCAACCATGTAGTCTACAACTACCAACATGGCTCAGTCCACTTGTCAATGACTTCATGAATTTGTGCCATGTTTTTGTCTGGTCGCTCCTATCTTTCTTCTAATCTACTCCTACACCATTGAACATCGCTCGTCGGGGCAGTCGGTGGCTGGTCATACGTTCAAGACATCTCAACTGATGAAGTTTCACTACTTCATCAATTGATTTACCATGCTTACCTAGTACCCGTTTCCTAACAACTGTATTACTTACTCGGTGGTCTCAGGATATACGAGCAATGTTTCGAAGACATGTATGATCGAATACTTATAACCTACGAACATCCTCTACTCTTACTTTGTACATAAACAGTAGAATCATGTTGACATTATAAGTAATTTACTGCGGACAAAATATGTTATTTTCAATTCATTTTATTATATTTTCATTAAATAATAATAAGACTGGTCTTGTCACTGAATTGGTTCTATGTCGTCTAGATCTGTGGTATTAAGAGAAGCTGACTTGAACTCTCTTAATGATAGTAAAATTCTTTTAAAGCTGGTTGGTAACGGTGATGAAATACAGATATATGGACGAAAGATATTCTTTTCACTAAATTCCCATCAGGTTGTAAAGTTATACATCTAAGTCATTAATTTAAAAAGGTGGCCATATTTAGGGCAAATACACTACATAAATTTGTGAGATTCACATCACATGATAGTCCACCAAATATTTGATATGACTTATAATTACACTTATTTTACTCACTCTATACTACTCATTTATCTGGATTGTTAATGTCACAATTTCATTTGACTGATAAACTATTGAAGTTAATCAAAGATAGGTAGTGGTTAGCAGTGGAATCCAGGAAGCGCATTACGGACTCGTGGACTGGATGTACCTGCATCCCAAAGTTGATATTCACTCTGGGACTTGAATCCAGTATCATTCACATTAAACGCCATCTCGTTGTCCTAAATTCCATTATTAGCCATCATCCATCTTTATTTATAATACTTGTGACTTAAGACAATTCGTACAGGATTTACATATACCAATAAGAGTGATTGATTAATTGTAGTCCTAAACATCAAAATAGGACAATTTAAACAAACAATAGAAAAAACATGAATTATTCAAACTAATAGTTTCAACATTAATAATTTAACATGGATTTGATTTGATCTGACAAACGATCCTAAACTCATATATTACAACTGTGTGAACAAGATGTATTTGTCTTATACTTGATTATTCTTTTGAATCATTAATGTGAATATATAACTATAGAAACAGTTAGGAATATTTAAATAGTTAAATCATGAACTCATAAAATTTGTTGCATAAATTTAACAAAATTAGTTTATTATCAGTATGGAGATTTGTGAAGATTGTAGTATTTTCATCGTTGAATTCACGAGTAGATCTAATCTAGATTGCTGTTGAAAACCTGGAAGCATTGAATGACCGTTTTGTTCTAGTATAGGGATTCCTCAACAGTGTATATCCACGATTTAGACCGTGGGACACAAGCCCAGGATTTTCGGTTCAGGTTTTCAATAATAGTTTAGCAGAGATCAACTCGTGAATTCAACTGTGAGAATTAGTTTGTGGTGGTAGGTAGATATCAGCTCACTGAAGACAATGGTGACGGTGGCGCAACTTCGTGGATTAGTTGAAGTTAGACATTAACACCGTTGGATGCCGGCTCAGTGGTCTAGTTGGTTAAGCGCCTGGCGCGAGACTGATAGGTCCTGGGTTCGAATCCCGCGGGGTGCGGGATCGTGGATGCGCGCTGCTGAGGAGTCCCATACTAGGACGAAACGGCCGTCCAGTGCTTCCAGGTTTTCCATGGTGGTCTAGCTTCAATTGATTCATGATTTCAACTATTGAAATTACCAATTCTCCACAAAACCCATTCTAATAATAATCATCTGCTCACTAGTGACTGACTTCAAGAGATACTCCTGGAGTTCTAGTGAGAAGCCGTGACCAGTGGAGTTCAACCAGGTCTGTTGTGAGATATCAGCTCACTGAAGACAATGGTGACGGTGGTAGGTTTAAATAGTCCGTATTAAATCATACTCAGTAACTTATCTCAACAAACTTGGATTAGAATGCTAAACAAAACATTTGGTACTACTTACATTTCAATCACTGGAATAATAATCCAAGTTAACAATTTAGTTAAAAAAAGACATCATTTTACTTCTATTGAATCAACTTCTGTTATCGTATTGCTATAATTTATACGTTATTCTTATATTCTTAAACATTTCAGTAGTTTATAGCTTAGTGATTAAAATTATAGACCTCTACTAATTGCTTTATAGACTAACTCTACAGATGAATCATTATTTCGTGTGATCATTATTCTGAATAGTGATTAAAAATTTCAATTTTCGAACCAACAATCTACAGGATTAAAACAAGCCTTACCTACTTTTATCTGGACATTTGAGTAGTATCGCTAGCTTACAGCCAAATCCCGTGAGCGGGATCATGAATGCTCACTGCTGAGGAATCTCATACTAAGACAAAACAGCTGCCCATTGTTTCTAGATTTTCCATGGTGGTCTAGCTTTAATTGACTCAGAGATTTAACTATTAAGTTACTACAATCTTCACAAAACTCCCTTCTGAAATGCATAAAAATCATATTTTATAGCTATCATCATCAACAACTGTGATGCCTAATATAGAAAAATCAAAGGATTGTTATGGAAGATATCATACTTGATATGAATAATAAGCGATTATAAAGTACTTCGAATATGTACAAAATTATTGATTTCTCCTACTGACATATTCATTACCTTTATCTGTGTAGTTGAGGCTTCACTAGTTTTATCGATATCTTGTAAAAGAAAAGTGGTAGAATATTTCTTTAACGTTGTACATAATGAAATACTCCTTGTTATTCACTCAAATGATTTTGAATGGTTTTTGTGTTCTAACGATCATGTATAATTCTGTTAATCACGTAGACAATGCTCTTTAGAAACTGTTATGTTTGAAGTGATTACTAGTTCACTTAATCTAAGAACGGAACGAAGATTCTGTGACACAATAACAGATAAGCTAGCTTTTCTGATGCGTCTTAGCCCCGCTAACTAGAGAGAGAAATTCAAGTTCGGAAGAGGGGGAATATATTTCACAAGCAACCAGAGGCACGAACAACAAAGACAAGCACAAATCAAGCGTATATATATATATAGCGTAAAAATCTTTCGGAAGCGTTACAATATAGCATACTAAAAGATATAATGGACTAATGGCGTTTGAGATTCTCCCAAGTGGGAAACACGACATAAAGTTGAAAATGAGCGCTTTTAGCACGAAAACAAGAAATTCAAATTTTTAGAAATAGAATCACAAAAATAAGGGATTTATCAAGTGAATTCTGGGGATCTACCATCCTCAACAGAAACTAATTTAAATTATTTTATTATTCTATGAGATTTCTTAATAGTACTTATCCATAGCCGTTGTAGGGCCAGTGATATGTCACTGAGCTTTAGCTAAATCATCCGGCAGTTGGGTCACTAAATATTGAACAGATCATTGATCTCTCGCCAAGGTCAAAGACAACTAATGCGCATCAGTTAATCGTACGCCATGGACTGGCCTATGTGGCGGTGGTATTGCTTTCGCTTGTATCTACTTTAACTAATATATTTCTGTAATAACGTCATTTTTTTGTACAGTTTTCAAGGCATCTATAGTACCTTGATACGTCAATCGGGTAATCCACGTGAAGTGCCGACCACGAGGTCTGACTTCAAAGTTATCTGGTTCGTCACATCATTTCCGTCTACTCGAGTAGGCCTCCAATCATTTGACATAGATCATCTACGTTGGTGATCTACATCGTATTGTAGAACAAATTATTGACTTTTAGGTTACAGGACAAAAGTATTACTTTTAAAAAATGAAATCGAAACGTTACAGTTTCAATTTTCAGTTCTCTCCAGTTTCCATTTGTTATTCAGTTGATTTCAGTTTGTGACAAAAAGGAGTTTTTACAAAGCATACAACTTAGTAATTGTAGTTTCAATCGGCTCATGATCTCAACTATCTCCACAAAACCGCTTCCGATACTAATCAACATATACTCACTAGTGACTGGCTTCAAGAGGTATTTCTTGGATTTCTAGTGAGGAGCAGTGATTAGCGGAGTTCAACCGGGTCAGTTGTGAGATAGTAACTCATTGAAGACAATGGTGGATGTGTCGTTCAATTTTGTGGAATAGTTGAAGTTAGATATTAACACCATCGAATACCGGCCGGATCAGTGATCTAGTGGTTAAGCGTTCGCGCGTGAGACTGATCGGTCCTGGGTTCGAATCTCGCAAGGAGGGATGGTGGATGCGCACTGTTGAGGAGTCTTACAATAAAACGAAAAGGTTGTCCAGTGCTTTCAGGTTTTCCATGGGAATCTAAATTCAATTGACTCATGGTCTCAACTATTGAAATTACTACAATCTTCACAAAACCCCTTCTGATACTAATTGTATTTTTGTCATACATTTTCTCAAAGAAGTTACCTTTATTTTTTACCTACGAAATTTTCCAAGTACATAAGAAACTTCTCAGCATTGCACAACTACGATCTTACACCAAAGGGACTCGAACCCATTACTTTTGACCTAGCACACCGAGCCAGTATCTAACGGTGTTGATGTCTAATTTCAACCAATTCACGATATTGTACAACTGTCCAATGCCTCCAGGTTTTCAATGGTGCTCTCACATTGATCCATACATAACATCAATCTAAACTCAACTATTTCAATAACCCTATATTGACGTAAAAAATCTATTACAGCATATATAATCAAATTATATATTATCACTGTATATAATGAAGTACATATATAACTACTGAAATATCAACCATGATAAACGATAAATAAATTAAGCAATCAGAATATTGACTATATTCTAATTGACAAAACATATATAACTTTGTTTATTACTCAATCGTGAATAAGAGATCACCTACTGCTTGAACACCTTATTACTAGATTATAACTATGAACCTTACCTGATCCTTTGTACATTTAAACTAGAATTACTATAAAGGTAACATTGAATTTTAGATCTAATGTTTCTTGTCTATTGTCTTTAGTCTCACAACATTTATGATAGTCATATAAAGTTTAAGGATATACTTTCTAAATTCAAATCCTAATTAACAATATCAATCATATAGTAATAAAATATGCATTTTGAAATGATAGAGAAGATTTATAACTCAGCTGAATGATTTTGATGGAGTTTTGTTCATTGAGTTGAATAGTTTAATTATAGAGCATTCATTGTTCTTCTGAATGATATCATCAGTAGCATAAACTTCAAATAGAAGTGAAGTGTCCAAATTTCACCATATATGGTTCAACATCGAGGTCTACAGGATAAACTGTGAGTCATATGGGAAGAAATTTAAACATTTCACTTCTATCTAAGGTTGTTGCTACTGATGATGTTATTTAGAAGAACGACGAAAGCTCCATAACCAAATTATTCAGCTCAGAGAACAAAATTCCATTAAAATAAAATATACATTACTACATCTCAAACTACACATATTCATTACAAATATGATACAAAAATTAAAAAAAAAAAGAAGAAGAAAATTAACAAGAAAAATCGAATTTAGATTTTACTGTAAAAAAAGAAAAGAACTTTGTTTTTCTTTTATTCTACAAAAGTTGATCTTCATGGATAAATAAATGGAAGGTAACTGGATGTGGATTGGAATAAAGAGTTGGTTTCGTTTTCAAACTGGTCATATATATATATATATATATCTATATTCCTTCTTATTTTTATCTATGATTTACTTCTTTATTCTTTTTTTCCTTTTACATTTTAACTCAACTGAGTTGCTAACTTGTTTTTCTCTTTTTTTCTAATTCTGTTTTTCTTTTTCTTTTAATTTTCCAGAACAAAAAAAAAACAAACAAACAGACAGACAAACAAATAACAGAATCTTTTCTTTTATACACAGAATTGTAAATAATTCAATCAAGTTGTATTGATGAATTACTGCATTTACTTTCACCACCACCAACACCACCACCATCACCATCACCACCAGCAGCACCCCCCCCAGAAAAAACAATGTGAAAACATTGTTTGTCTATCTCTTCAATACATTTTTATACTACTCATATTAAAAAAATAAGCATACAGTTTGAAACATGTTCATGTATGTATGTATGTATGTATATCTATTCAAGTTTGTGTACATGTGTTTGATGAGAACAATACAATATCACAGTAAAGTGTATAGTATCAATGTAACTGAATAATATAATCTTATTTAAAGTTTATTATTATTGACAAATTTTTTTTTCTTTTTTCGCTTTTTTTTTTCTTTTCAGTGAAAAAAAGTTTTTTTTTAAAAAAAAAGGATGAAGAAAGAATTTGAATTTATTCACGTTTAAATAAACTTCGTATGGTTGAACGTCTTCGTTGTGTATAATTAGGACCAGTTGTTGCTATGGAATTATCATTAATATCAGTATCACGTTGATTAATATAAGTTGTATCATAATCTTTATTTAAATTACTTTTTCTCTAAAACATATAAAGTAGAAAAATATATACATAATAAGTATTATTATTATTACTATTATTATTATTATTATTGTGGTGGTCGGTGTTCGATATATTCCTTAAACTCCGTATACAGTTCGTCTCGGTAACCGTCACCAAATAATGCTCCAACGGTATGTTAATCAGAAGGCGAATACGAAGCGTTAATTACGTTTATTAAGGGACCACACACAGATATCCAAAATTACAGATGCGTTAACAAGCATGAAATAGTTGTGCCAAAAGGCAAACAGGCAAGCGAGCGAGCGAGAGAGAGCAAGGGCAAGAGCGAGCGAGCGAGTCATGAATATGAATAACATGGACATATATATACCTAGTGAAATTAATGAATCATCAAGTCAATTAAGCGGTTAATAGTAAAGCTAGTAGCGTGAATAAATGCGTAGGCAGTAAGGCTTGCCGAGGATACATATTCATACAAGGATAACAATAATAAAAGTACATACATTCGCAGCAGTAATAAGGATACAATAAGTTATTATAGTGCAGGTGACTTTGTCCGTTTAATAAGTTAATAAAAGGGCTTAACCGAATTAGGTGAGAGCAAACTCAATTGAATGTGAGTTGCTATATTATTATTATTATTATCAGTTTAGGTGTTGTGGAGATTGTCAAGTTTTTGATTGAGATCATGAACCGATTAATGTTAGACAACCATTAAAAACCTGAAAACACTAGACGGTCCATAAGTACCATTGGTTTAGAATTAGGGTTTTTCAACTGCCCCCAAGTAAATTCTTCATATCCATTAATCCATTTAAACAATCAGATATTCACATTTTATTCTCTCAATTTCATAAACAACAGTTTCATCACAAGAAAGCAATGAGTAGTATTTCCCTGTCAGAGACTATATACACTTGATCATATGTGAGTATTTCAAGACGAAGAGCTAATTCTCCTTATCCTCAATAGTACCAGAACATTCAAGAGTTAATATAAACAGAGAAATTCATCACAAATCGATTCTTTGTTATGATAATAAGTTATAGAAAAAAAGACTTATTAACTTACATGTGAATTATTTGTTATTGGATTTAAATCCATTACAATTATTGGATTTTCTTCATTCTCTGGATAACGTTCTATATCATTTATAGATAATTCATCTCGATGATAATTCATTGAATTATTGTTTGTATTTATTATATCATTACTAGTAGTAGTATATGATCTGGTTTGTGTACAAGGTGAACTGGATCGTGTATGATGCACAAATTTAGTTCGATCAGAATTTGGCTAAAATATTTTTATTCAAATAGAAAGAAGTTACCATGTAAATAAATTTATATCCGATTATGATGTTAAAATTATAAAAAAAAAATAATCAATCAATCAATTTGATATTATTGTTCAACATTATCTTATTCAAAACATGGTACACACTTTGATGAACGATATTTTATAGTATAGGAATAGGTTGGAAGAAAGATAGAGACAGCCAGATTAAAACATAGCATAAATCCATAAAATCATTCACAAGTGAACTAAGCTAATGTTGGTAGATGTAGACTATATGGTTGGGATCCGCGAGATGATAGCAAACGATGCTTAGAGACCTGGAATATGACATAGTTCAAAATCGTTTGCAATGGTGTGCACAGGTGCATCCACTCGTTGTATTCTCCCATATTCTAATCTTCTGAATTCTTCATGTTCCTTTATTTTTCTCTTTCCAAATTTCTTTCACTGGATTATACTCCTTGAATAACATCTTCAAACCCTAATGTTTCCTATTACTGCTTATACTCTTACAATCTCTACCACTATGGCATTTGAATCGGTAATTGTATCTGTGTGCAAATGTGGTGTGGCAACTTGAACTGATGTACGTATGTACGAAGTTCTACTTTGTTGTTGATTGAATGACTGACACGCAGTATCAAGTCACATAGACTAGGGGTCACATTACAACTTGGTCGACAGAAGTCGATTTAAACTAAGAAGGATCTGACATACATGACGTTGATCACTATCTAGTGATCAATCAGTTGTAAATATATTTTAATCCTACAGGAGGTTAGTTGTGGCGCGAATACTTCAGTGGTAAAGTCTTAGACTGTGAAACTGGATGACATGGGATCGAATTCGTCAGGAGCATCAGTTTCCTCAAGATTACAGGTACACTTTACTGACGAGTGCCAAATAGCACGAAACATAGGTCATCCAGGCTTTCCTGTTGACTACTTCCAATCAAAATCTAAATATGTATGTGTCTTACTTGTGATTACGAGATATATTGAGTGAAGTAAAACTAGGATTTTATACTGTTATAACGTTTAGATTTCCACATCTAAACGAATAGGATACTAAGTTGCCTTAGACAAATATCTGCTCTAGATTCTCTCCCAGTGTCTATTCTACAGGACTTCAACACATTTGAGATCAAGAACACGTGATTAGCCTGACTAGAGCATAAGTAATATTTCCGCACCAAATACAGACAACAATCACAATAATAATAATAATAATAATAATAATAATAAGGATAGTCACCTGTTAAATTATCTACAAGCCTGACTAAGCAAATAACTAATCCTTTTTATCTCCCCCAAATGCCCTGGTACGGCCGAGAGTGGGGAGAGTCCGCTCTCCGTCTCGAAATGCTCTCACATGGCCACGCGAATACACCCTCTGCCAGGGAAGTCCTACTCACTGCCTTCTCGTGACACAGGTGTTGTTTACGAAAATAAGAGGACGAAAAGCGAATGTCCGGATCCCAAACCAATTGTGCACATGGGTTCCAGTATCCTGACGGAACAAATGGTGTATGAACCAACCGTTGGTCACCGGCTACCATGGGACTGCATCTCCTCACGATGCTCCATTGACTTGTGGATTAGACCTGTAGGTCAAAGGCCCAGGATGTGGCCCCCTAATAAAACCACCTGCTTCGGTTTGGGCACTTGGGCAGTATCACAGCCCTCACACAAATCAACTGAGATTCGTGTGACGCATATGGATTTGGTGCCTTCTTGTACCAATACCTATTTGTTAAAATAATAATAATATTTCCCCCATATCACATACATATATGAAAGTAAAAATTGCATATTTGTAGAGAGATAATATGATGTATTACATTATGAAATCATGAACCTTTAACTGACTAAAGTACCATATCTAATTTAATGATTATAAAATTTCAATAATCCTATAAGGATTTCAATGTTTAGGTTATTTGTTCTTAATGTAACATTCATGCAGCCTAATCTGTGAATGCATCCCACTATTCCCTACATTAACTTATATGAAGTTAACATACGATTTATAAATTCATTCTTTATGTCTACTGTTATATGTAAAAGGTTTGTTTTTCTTGATATACCGCATATAACTGAGCACTAGAATGCCAAAAACCCTTCCAAGTCGCAAGGAGAAGATAGAAGACTAATGAAAGGAATATTATTCCAAACACTGTCATTTATAGTACAAAATTGTCAGGTATTTATAGTTTTTAGTAAGAATAAAAATCATCATTACAGTCCTTCAATCCGCATACAGGGGGTTATAAGCATTTGTCCGATCGGGAAGCTACACGTAGGAATTCTAGAATATTCTTCCAGAAGGTGATTGGATGGAATATCTTCGAGTCTTTCTGATCCTCTTACAGATTCCTTGAGTTCACCCGTAGTCCGTCGTCACATCTACATCTTACACTAAGTCACTTTTGGTTAAGTATTTGATGATCATAAATATAAGTTTTCATTAATTGAAATCAACATTTAGTAAATACAGAACTATATAGGTATTAACAGAGATTCAATCAGTCTTCTGACATTTTATGACTTTAGATGAAGTGTTAACACATAGTCTATCGACCGTTTAGACATAGTTGAATTCATGAGTCGATGTATCCTAGACCAACTTTGAAAACCTTGAAGCACTAAACTAGTATGGGATTCCTCAACTATTCAACTATTAAAATCATTACAATCTCTGCAAACTCCATCCTGAACATAATCATCATGTGCTCACTAGAGACTGGCCTCAAGATGATTTCCTGGAGTTCTAATGAGAAGCCTTGATCAGTGGAGTCCAATCCGTGTTGAGTAGAGACAGGTATTTACCCCAAATAACGGACGAATGGTTGCGCAATAATTCATGGACGATGGAAGTTACATATTAGCATCGTTGGATGCCCGCTCAACGGTCTAAAGATTTAGCGTTTGTACGCGAGACCAAAGGTTTTAGGTTCAAATCCATTTCGCTCAGGATCGTGGAAGCTCACTGCTGAGGAGTCCCACAATAGGACAAAACGACCGTCCAGTGCTCCCAGGTTTTCAATGGTGGTCTAGCTTACATCGACTCATGAATTTAACTATTAAAATCACTACAATCTCCACAAACCCCGTTCTACTCATAGTTTCAGATATCTCATGAATGACAAAATAGCCATTGATGACATTCGATGATTGTTTCCGAATCACGAATTTATAACTTTGTAAATGTATACTAACGGATGTCAACCTAGAAGTTTAACAAATAAACACTTGCCTGAATGTTCTGGATTCGACTTTTGATGAGTTCGCGAATGTGTACTGCCAAACATTCTCATAATATAATGAAACAGCTGTTCAATGTTACCTCTTTTAAAATGCCGCACCATCTAAGTCTAATCTATGGATATTACCAATTTCAAATCTAATATACTCACTATTAATAATAGGTTTTTACATATTTTTACACTACTTAGATTTCAATAGTTGAAATAATGAGTCAATTGAAGCTAGACCACCATGTAAAACTTGGAAGCACTAGACGGCCGTTTCGTCTTGTTGTGGAGCTCCTCATCAGTGCGCATCCACGACCTCGCCCCCTGCGAGATTCGAACCCAGGACCTACCGGTTTCGCGCGCGAGCACTTAACCATTAGACCATTTAACCACTGGAATTATTACAATCTCCACAAAACCCCTTCTGATACTAATCAACATATACTCACTAGTGACTGGCTTACAGAGGTATATCCTGGAGTTCTAGTGATAAGTAGTGACTAGTGGAATACAACCGGGTCAGTTGTGAGATAATAACTCACGGATGACAATGATGGATGTGTCGCTCAATTTCTTGGATTAGTTGAAATTAGACATTAACACCATTGGATGCCGGTTAGTTCAGTGGTCTAATGGTTAAGCGCTCTCGCGCAAGACTGATAGATCCTGGGTTGGAATCTCGCAGGGGGCGAGACCGTGGATGTGTACTGCTGAGGTGTCACATACTGGGACGAAGCGGTCATCCAGTGCTTCCAGGTATTCCATGGTGATCTAGCTTCAACTGACTCATGATTGTAACTATTGAAGTTACTACAATCTCCACAAAACCCCTTTTGATAATAATCTAATAATATCATATATACTTACTTCTGATTTAGTATTTCTAATATAATTTGTATTTTGTAATTGTGATGAATTTGTTCGATTTGATATTCGAACTATTGGATCCATTGAATATGATTGATCTTTATTATTTTGTATTTTTTGTTGATCATAATCATATGAATTAGTAAATAATAATTGATTTGAAAAATTTTTTTGTTTATTTATATAATTTATTTCATTAATACAAGAATTTAAAAAATTGGAAGGCACAAGACCACGACGACCATCTTTTGTTTCACCATAATAAAATCCATCATCATCCATATTACCATATATGATAATTTGTTCACCTGCTCGAAAAGATAATTCAGCCTATAGAAACAGACAAACAAATAAACAAGAAAAAAATAGTATGTTGATAAGTCGTCTTGTTAATTTGAATGCCTTATTCGGTTCTTAAGCTGATTTTGTAACCCTCCCCCCCCCAAGTTAGAACTATACAGCGACTTGAACACGAGAGAGAGAGAGAGAGAGAGAAAGCGTAAAGTATGCGAGAAGTGCTTTTGTGGGACCCTTATTTTAGATGTCAATTAGATCGGACGATGTTCGTCGAAGGGCTCTTCCCTTTAGTGGCCCGTGGATATGACTTCAATTAGATCATATGAATGATTACTGTCGAAATATGTGTTTCGCCTATTCTCGTATTTAATTATCGACTTGAATTACATTGTGGTCAATAACGGAATTAAATAAGTCAAATAGCGAGAATGGTCTTTTGAATACATATATTTTGTATATGAAGCAAACGGAACAGAGAGAAGAGAAACGACGCGCAGTGGAGTTGGCGGGTAAACCAACTCCCCTTTAGTCAAGCGTTAATCAGTATTTATAGGCATACAAAAATAAGTAACAGACATGTGATGAGTAACGGGATAAGAAGTGTACACACACCTACGCGCTCATGTAAGAACAGTCAAGGTTAGAATGTGACTCCAGTAGAATGCATAGAATGGGTTGTCCGAAAGCTAGAATAAGGTATATGCGTTTAACATAATAATAAATACTACACTTTACTCCAAAGGTTCAGTTTTGTGCAAAAAAACACGTGTATTTATAAATTATTAGCATTTTCCAAATCAACATATTTTTGAGCCAATCCGCTAAGAGGCATATTATGCTACTGACCGATAGTAGCGTACCACGTTAAATTCTAGAAAGCTCCCTCATGCTCTGATTGGCTGGAACTCTTGGGCTTCTTCAGGGCCTCTGGAGGCTCCGTTGTAGTTCTCGGAAGCCGACTCAACAAACGTTGTAATTTTTCGAATTGAATGCTACTTGTAATCTCTGGTCGTCGTTGATTGTTATATCGTAAATGCTTATTACTTATATTTGAAACGAAGGACCTCGACAATTATCACGACATGAAAGTAAGAACATAAAGACTAGTATTAGTAAAGATTTATTGACCCCCGAAAACACGACGACGACGATCGTAGTCGAAAATACACTCAATTATATATTGATTCATACACCCATTTTTGATGAATAATTAGAATGAAATCACATTTATGAAAAATACTTAGGGTTATAACAAGTTGCATGCTGAGTATAGCTCATATTAACTCAATACAAGAATTTTTTTGATTAAGCTCATGAACTGATTGACGTTAGACAACCATTGAAAACCTGGAAGCACTGAAAAATCGTTTCTTCCTATTGTGAAACTCCTCAGCAGTGCGTATTCACGATCCCACTTCGCGAGATTCAAACCCAGGACCTTTAGTCTCGCGCGTGAACGCTTAACCTACTGGACCACTGAGCCGGCCGGTATCCAATGGTGTTGATGTCTAACCTCAACCAATCAACGAAATTGCATGACCATCTTTCATTGTACTGAGGTGGATACCTGTCTAGATCAGATATGGGGCCAATAAAGGTTTACTTAATTCTATAAATGTTGATTACAGTAAGATTTAAAAAAAAACAAGTGAATTTAAACTTCACCCCATTGCACAATCTGGTGACTATCAGGACTCAGTAGCTAAGTAGATAACGCGATGACATTTGAACCTAACGGTACTGGGTTCGAGTTAACTCTGAGATGCAATTACACTCAACTGACGAGTCACAAATAAGACGAAACGTTCTTCCTTGATTCAACTGCTTGCTACTATCCATCTTTGCTTATAAATTTAATACTTTCAAGTTTTATGATTGAAATAACACTGACAAATCATCTGTTTGGAATCCAGTTATATATATAGGTATTCAGTGATTTTTATTGTCTTACTCCAAGCTAGGACAACTACAAAAAGTTACTTATCTTCACTTTCACTTCATATAATCTTATTTTAAAAATTAGTTACCACCTTCCTGGTCAGCAGCCTATGCTCCATTGGGAGTAACAAGCATAAGTAAGTAAGTAAGTAAGTAAGTAAGTAAGTTACCACCTGGAACTCTTTTGGGGCTACTTCCGGTCCCAATCCTGGATAAATGAAAAGGTTTAGACATGAGTTTAACAACCCTATCCCATAGATGATATAAAAAAAAACATCAAAGCAGAAAAGATAAAATAACTATACAGTTTCTTTCTTTCTTAACTTACATCAATATCTGCATTAGGACTTAATATATGTGGATCATAATCATAAATAGCAACCATAATTTTTGATGGTTGATTCATTTGTTGTTGTATTGATTCTATTGGTTTATTATGTAATGTATCTAAAATAAAAGTAATAATCATTAATTTAATTCTAATTTACTTGGTATAATTTGATTCATTGTATTTTGACTTAATTCAGTAGTAGTGGTAGTGGTAGTATTAGTAGTAGTATAAGTAATAGTAGTAGTAGAAGTAGTAGTAGTAGCAGTAGTAGTAGTAGTAGTATGTTTCGTTTGAGATTGTGAATAATGTAGATTACGATTTTGTTCTAATTCATTCGGTTGTAAATCTTTTATATCAACATAATCAGGTATTGCCATTTGTTGATGATATGCATGTTCATTTATAAAATCTATCTAGAAATGATAAAAAAGATATAATAATAATAATAATAATGATTATGTAATCTTTTTTTTTCAAATAATAAATAAACAATTACTAATAATTGTGATGTGAGCTACTTATATACACATAAGTAGTATATAACGATGGTCAGGGATAGAATATATTTTAGTAGAAGGTCGATGAGGAACGAACGGGAACAAAACACAATTGTTATGAAAATGCATGAACAATGAAATCTGAGACAATGGATTGATGTTTACAACAGGAACAGTCAAGTTTGATATATATAGGATATATATAGGATTATAGCAACTACTCCTACAATCAATTTCGATTACGGTTAAATTTTGGTTAAGTTCTTTTGCAGGTCTCAACATATACAAAGGAAAAACAAAGATCCTCAAATACAACACGCAGAACACTAATACAATCACACTTGATGACGAAACTCTAGAAGGTGTGGAATTCTTCACATCTGTAAAGCATCATCGATGAACAAAGAGAATTAGATGCAGATGTAAGGCACAGCATGCACCAATCCAATCACAATTGATAGAGAATGTTTGGAAGATGTAAAAACCTTTACATATCTGGGCAGCATCATTGGTGAATACGATGGATCTGATGCGAACGTAAAGGTGAGAATTCGGAAAGAAAGGGCCGCATTCCTTCAATTGAAGAACACATGGAACTCAAAACAACTATCAAGTGGAAGGCCAAAGAACCCATTACGTCAGGAAATAGAAGCACATATGAAAAGAGTGAATAACAACTGGAAAGAGTTGGAAAGAATTGACCGGGACAGGGTTGGATAGAGAGTATTGGTGGGCGGCCTATGCTCCTTCACGAGGAGTAACAGGCGTAAGTAAGTAAGTAAGTCTGTTGATTAACTTACTTGATGAATTACTGAAGTGATCAATTAACCAAGCAAAGCCATTATAGGTTCATGTTACCAATACCTTATTTTTACAACAAGATGAACATTAAATTCATAGAAGTAGTTTCTTTAATAGCAGTGAATAAGTACTTTCAAAAAATCCTGCTTATCTAATTTAATTTAAAAGTATGTAACAGAAGGGGTTTTGTGGAGATTGTAGCAATTTCAATAGTTGAGATCATGAGTCAACTGAAGCTAGACCATCATAGAAAATCTGGGTGCATTGAACTGAGAATTTCTTTACTAGGAAGAAATGGTTGTCCAATGCTTTCAAGTTATCCATGGTAATCTAGCTTCAATTGACTCATGAAATCAACTATTAAATTTGTATTTATTTAATGTAAAATAGATGATTTGATTAGAGATTAGTGAAACGACAAATCCTGGGTTCGAATCCCTTGAGTGGGATTGTGGTTTACGAGCTGTTGAGGAGTCTCACAATAGGACGAAACGGTCATCCAGTGTTTTCAGGTTTTCCATGGTGGTCTAGCTTTCGTTGACTCATGATCTCAACTATTAAAAATATGTACCTTAATATAATGTATAATTTGGTTAAAACTATATTCTGATGATACATATCATCATCCGACTGATTATACCTGGATATTCATCAAAAACCATACAAGCCATACCTGTATATTTCATTTTAATTTAGTATTTTCAAATAGAACATATCCGTATTTAACCATGAACTACAGTATGTATAAATAACTGAAGAATACTATTAGAATGAGGGTTTGTGAAGATAGTAGTAATTTTAATAGATGGATTCATGAGTCGATCTAAACTAGACAACCTTCAAAAATCTGGAAGCACTGTCTTAAGGTCATTTCGTCCTAGTATAGGACTCTCCAGCAATGCACATCCACGATCTTGCACCAAACGGACAATAATCTAAGACCTTTGGTCTCGCGCTCGAACGCTTAACGTCTAGACCACTGAACAGGTATCCAACAGTGTTAATATCTACCTTCAATTGATCCATGAATGGTCGCGCAACCATTCATTTATGTATGAGACTATTCAGTTGTGCGCACCCACGTTCCCGAATCAAAGGCACTCGAACCCAGTACCTTCGGTCTTATCATATGGTAATGTTATCATCGAAGAGATTTCATCAATCCCCTCACTGAGGATTAAGAAATCTTGCAAGGATACATTGTGTTAATAAGAAAACTGAAAAAAAATTCCGAAATTCAGGTATTTAATTTTTTTTGGTGGATAAACTTGTCTGTAATATAAATGTATTTATGAAACAGAATTTAAACCGAGTTTGTTGTAAGATAGTAACTCACTGAAGACAATGATGGACGGTGGCACAATTTCGTGGGTTGGTTGAAGTTAGATGCTGGCCAGCTGAGTGGTATAGAGGTTAAACATTGGCGCGCGAGACTGATATGTTCGGGTTTCGAATCTCGCGAGGTGGGATCGTGGATGCTCACCGCCGAAAAGTCCTATACTAGGAAGAAACGGCCATCCAGTGATTCTAGGTTTTCCATCGTGGTCTAGCTTTGGTTTAGAAAGTACAGTTCACTAAACATTAACCAATTACTTAAATATGCATTCTTATTATTCTAGTTATGTAAATAGTGTGATTAAAATTCTTTTCCTTTAGATACATTACGATCTTGTATTTTAATGAATTATTATTATATGAGTTACTAAATGGATCTTTTATTGATTCTGATTGATTGTTTGATATAAAACAAACTACATTAATGAACTGATTGATAGTGAATGTAAGGAAAAAAAACCAGTAACAAAGATTATCTAAAATGGTTACAATATCACAACTAATATTGTAAGGAAAGGTAGAAACTGGCTAACTGTGAAATCTAGGATGAGCTTTTCATCTTATCCGGAACACGTCAGTTGAATGTACTTGCATTTTAGAGTTGATGTTCACTCTAAGACTCGAACCCAGTACTATTCACTTCAGCTGACGGGTCCCGAATAGGACGAAACTCACGTCCTGGATTCCACAGCTAGACACTTTTCATCTTTGCTTAAAAAGCTTGTGACTTAAGGCTATATCAAGGCAATCCGCACAGGATGCATATATGCCAACAAGAGACTGATCAATCGCAATCCTAAATAACAATTAGAAGATACAAGTATAACAACACCAAGCGAATTTAAACTCCACCTTATTGCACAAGCAAGCGGTTATCAGGACTCAGTAGCTAAATGGATATCGCGATGGCAATTGAAACAAACGGTACTGGGTTCGAGTCCAAGAGTGAACAATAACTCTGAGATACAGGTACACTCAACTGACGAGTCCCAAACTGAACAAAACGCGCTTCCTGTATTCCACGGTTAGACAATTCCAAACTTTGCTTGAAAAAAGCTTGTGATTTAAGGCTATATCAAGGCATTTTTCGATTGAGATCATCAACCGATTGATGTTAAGCCACCATTGAAAACCTTAAAGCACTGGACGGCCGTTTCATCCTATTATGGGACTCTTCAGTAATGCGCATCAACGACCCCGCTCGCGGGATTCGAACCCAGGGCCTTCAGTCTCGCACACGAACACTTAACCTCAAGACCACTGAGCCGGCATCCAATGGTGTTGATGTTTAACTTCAACCAATATACGCAATTACGCGACCATCTTCCATTGTACTGAAATAGACACCTATTTCTACTCGACACAAATTAGCTCCACTGATCATGAATTCTTACCAGAACTCTAAAACTTTTCTCATGAATCTAATCACGAATGAATTAGTTAAGGTTAAACATTAACACCGTTAGATGCCAGTTCAGTGATCTAGTAGGTTAAACGTTCATGTACTAGACTGAAGGACCTAAGTTCAAATCTCGTGGAGTGCAAAGATCATCGATATATATATATTCGATATATACATGAACTTACATTTCGAGATATAGAATTCGGTTGTGAAATAAATGAATCATATTTTTTATTTAACAGATAATAATTTTGATTTGGTAAATGAATTTGTTCATTTAAATGTATATTAGTTGTATCAGTTTTATTCAATTGATCTAATGATGTATAATTATTATTGTTATGATTTAATTGAGAATTAATTAAATAATTTATTTTATTTGATAATTTTAATGAATGTGGTTGTAATTCAGTAACCATATTTGATGGAACTAATCCACGTAGACCATTACATTCACCAAGATAAAATCCATCTTCATCACATTCAGTAAGAATCTAAATTCAATGAAATGAAATAATTTCACATATATATATATATTTTTTCTTTTATCATTCAGTTAATATATATAACATAAAAGAGAAAGTGTTATTATTATCTTATAGCTATCGATTAGAAAGTAATGAATTTCGATTAGATCCATGATGCATAAAACAAGTACGAGCAGTCTAGAGTCTTTATCGGGCCGGCTTCCCACCTAGCCCTGCCTGTTAAGTACAGAACCCCAATTTCAGTCACTGCGATATGAATCGTGTATTTCAAACATACTGGGTTCATATACCAACTAAACAGACCACATTGTACCAATAAAATAGGTAACAACATTTGTATAAGATTTAGTCAAATGTGACTGTGATTATGGGAGATAGTAATTAATAGACTGGGAATAATTCAAGAATGGTAAATCGTAGAATAATAGTTCATAGGTCAAAATAAAGCTCATCATAAAGAGGAACATCAATATGAATAGTTTAGTTATTTAACAATTATACTGTAAAAATATACGTATAGTATTGATCTATAAATGGATCCGAAAAATTACCATTCATTATTCTTGTTGGAATATAACAGAAAGAATGTTGTATGTGTGACAATCTCAGTGAATGCATTTGAAGTAAATCCAACATTTCGCTTAGCAATTTAATCCAACCTTTTTTCAAGGAAAATATAATCAAACAAATAAATAAATAGATACATGGTTCTCTGATTTACTGTATACTGAATAAGACATCTGAATCAACATTGAACCCTTATAAACAAAGATGGATAGTGGCTAGCAGTGGAATCCAGTTTGACACGCGTTTCGTCCTATTTAAGACTCGTCAGCTGGATGTTCACTCTGGGACTCGAACCCAGTACCGTCCGCTTCAAACGCCATTGCCTTATCCACTTAGCTACTGAGTCCTGATAGCCACTTGCTTGTGCAATCGGGTGAAGTTTAATTCACTTGATATTGTTTTACTTGAATCTTCCCATTGATGTTTAGCACTGCAATTGATCAGTCTCTCATATTGGCATATGTGCATACTGTGCGTATTGTCTCGATATTGCCTTAATTTACAAGTATTATAAGCAATGGGAAGATTCAAATAAAACAATATCAAGTGAATTAACATTGAACCCTGTTTGAACTAGGTATTTACATAGGTGTATAAGAGACATGTGTTGTAAAAAACAAAAAAAAGTGTGCTAAGATAACAAATTCTGTGTCTATGTAAATGATGTAAGAAGAAATTTCATTCAACTCTATATTGTCTTTGATCGGTGAATATTAAGGAAAATATATAATATAGAGAAAGAATGTATTTGTACTTGAAAATTTGTGTTATTTTTACTGTTCCACTCATTTGTTTAACATATTCAGATATGATAACTGATTTAAATCGTTGAATGTATCATCTATTGATTAGTTAATATGATATAGATAGATAGAATAGAATAAGGAGTTCATGTTTATTTATTAATTATTAGTTGCTATGGGATAGCTAATTATATTCCATCTCTCCTATGAATACTCTTTGGATTAGTCCATATAATATGTACCTTTTTGAATGATTCTTGACCTGATTCAATTGAGTGTAATGCTATTGCTGAATTGTTCTCAAGTTGTTTTTTGTTTTTTTTTTTTACATCATCTAAGGATTTAGGAATGTGCTTTAAGCAAAATTTGTGTTCCTTCACTCTCATATTCATTTGTCTACTGTCACTTTGGTAGAGTGTGAATACGTAAACTTAAAATCTAGAAATTTCCCTGCATATGTCGGCTATCGGAAAATACTAATTTTTAAACAATCATTATATTTCATTTTAATCAAACAGTCTAGAAAAGTTAATTTCCGTTCAGGTGATTCCAATTCTTTGGTGAACTTAATTTTGTGGATATTATTTATTACTGATAGTTTATGGTATGTATATTCAAAAAAATAGGTGATTGAGATGTATCTATTGATCACTGAATATTAATTAGACATTTAATAGTTTCACATCTGACACCGATTGAACTCCACTGGTTACGGTGTTTGATTGGGTGCCGAAAACTTACATCTTAAAGATGGTCACCAGTGGCCCCTAAATGCTTTGTTACGGACAAGGGAGAGTCTGCTCTTCCTCTCGAAATGTTCTCATATTGACACACGTATACAGTTACTATCAGGGAAGTCCTACTCACTGTTTTCTCGCGGAGGGGGTATTGTTTGAGAAATTCAGAGGATGAAAAGAGAATGTCTGTCTCCTTAACTGGGTTACTGAACACGAAATATCCATCTAAAGGAGTTGGAAAATCCTAATTCTAAACCAATGGTACACATGGGCTCCAGTATCCTAAAGGAACAAATGCATATGAACCAAACGTTTGTTACTGGCCACCATGTGACTGCATCAATTTATGGTGTAACATATGAGTAAGATTGTCCTGTAGTGTGTACTACTGATATCGATAGATATAAGTAGTATATATCATCAGTCAAAAAAGAAATGCCTGGAGCCAGAAGGTTAAGAAGATCGAAGAAAAGAGAACAAAACAGAGAATGACCAGTATCCAACGCTGTTAATGTCTAACTTCAATCAATCCACGAAATTGAGCGACCATCTTACATTATCTAGGTTAGATACCTGTCTCTACCTGACAAAACGAAACGGCCATCCAATGCATCCAGGTTTCCAATGGTGATCTAACATCAATCGGTTCATGATCTCAATCAAAAACTAGTACCGAGTATAAATGAATACTTTGGTTATTTCAAAGTTTTTAGGTCAGTTCGTCCTCAAGATCTTGTTTCTGACTCGTTGTCATAACTAGTTTTAGTGTTTTCATTTGTCAGTCTTGTTTCTCTAGCTGGTTTCATCAGTTAATCTACAACCAAGTGATTAGTCAATCCTTTAAGCATGGATTAAATAAACCAGATTTATATCAATGTCTAGGAGTTCTATTTCTCAATGTACAGCTAATATGAGCGGTAAAACGGACAGACCACCGGCTATCACTAAGTCATAAATAAAATTGATATACATCTGATCTGGCCTATAATAAATTAAGTGAATTATTTATTTACTTGAACGAGCACTCAGGCGGAAAATACCAATTGATTGTTTAATGCATAATCATACACGAAATACACCATTTGTACATCTTTCAATTATCTCTTACAATCTTTATTGTTCCTTCATTCCTATCGTTATCTTAATTTCATTCGGTTTCCATCTTTCTTCTCTTCATTTCAATCTTCTAAACCTTGTGCTCTCAAACATTCCACTTCCAACTGATGTTACATACTACTTATATCTGTAAACATATGTAGTATACACCACAACTACTTAGATGTTTTCAAAAGAGCTAGAACAAAGATTTTAGCAGAATAGCATGAATTCATTTTATTTCGTAGGTTCTCATCAGCTGCTTACAACCTGTTATATTTATAAATCATAATAAGACAATGAGTTTAAATGACTTACATGAGAGGATTTTGTTAGAAGTTATATAGAAGACATATTCGTATAGTGTAGCAAGGGTGTAAATGAAATTAATATACTGAATATTGTAAATATATACCTAATGTGAAAGAATATTCTACATCATTAATTGTGACAACAGTTCAAAAAGGGGTTAGAAACAATTGATTACATAATGAGTAAAAAAAAAAATAAAAAATTTTGATAGGAATATAGTGAGTAGAGTTCAGTTAAAAGATTATTAATTTGAAACGTAGTTGAAGAAATAAAATAATGAAAATCAATGATGTAATAAGTACAAAAATAATAATAATAATTTATGGTGCAGAGAAGGAATATTTGTCACCAAGGCAAAGAAAGATTAACAACCATCTCCTTTTGAACACATAGGTCAGGTTTTTGACGCCTGATGGCAACGGCTTCAGCAAACTTCAGAAGACTGGAGTTTGGCTGCTTACTAATCACCTTGAAGGATTGTAAGGTATCTACCTGATGTCCTGTATCAAGGAGATGTTTGGTGATTGCACTATTCAGAGTCCTTCTTTCCCTTGTTCTAAGACTTTTTGGAACATGTTCAAAAAATCTAAGGTATGCTCTCCTTTCTGTTCTGCCAATGTAGCTGCTTTGGCAGGTACACGTAAATTTATAAATACAGTTGGCGGTAACATGAAAGGGTTGCTTGTCGACCTTTGATTGAGTTATTGAACATGTTGTTTTATAGAAAATTAAAAGTTTAGCAGCCGGATAAGTTCTGGCAAGCGCAATATTCAGTCTCCTACTGATTATTTGTGCGACGTTATCACCTTTAAAGTTAAGATTTATAGATACTGTCTTTTTATTGACCGTAGTTATTTCCGTCTTGTTTTCTTTGGGCTTTTTATATTTGTCAATAAACTTTTGTGGATAGAAGTTGTTTCTTAGACATTCTTCTAGGTTCATTAATTCTTCTTCAAGTTTGTCGGTGGTACATATCTTTTCTACCCTGTCAAATAGTGTTTTAACCAGTGCCTTCTTGTAACTAATTGGACAGAAACTATTGAAATTCAGATAGAGGCCATTCCAATTGCTTTTTCTATAAACTGAACGTTGTACTGTCCCGTCTTTCCTACGTCTTATGGCAACATCAAGAAAGTGGAACATGTCGTTCTGTTCGTGCTCCATAGTAAAGTGAATGTTAGGATGAGCGTTATTGAAGAGTTCTAGCAGGCGGGTTGCATGCTGTTTATTATTACAGACAATAAATGTGTCGTCCACATATCTGTAGTATTCCGTCGTTTCACTGATCGCCTGTTTAAGTACCGTGTTTTCAAGATACCCCATAAAAATATCTGCCAGAATTGGACCTAGTGGACTCCCCATTGCTACGCCATCGATTTGGCGATATATGGTGTTATTAAATTGGAATTGAACATCAGTTGTGCACATTAGTAGTAGTTTTTTGAGTTCTGGAGCTGGTAAAGGTAGGAGATCATCATTCTGACAAATTATATCAATAGTTTCAAAAAGTGGTATATTGGTGAACAATGATGTTACATCAAAAGAGACCATTAACTTATCAGTAACATTCGTATGATTTAATCTATCAGCAAACTGGAATGAATCTCTTAACGTGTATGTTGCTAATCTCCGACGAACCGGTTCTAGTTTTACTGCTAACCAGCGTGCAACTTTATGATACGGTGAGTTGATCATTGATAGGATAGGTCTGAGGGGAACGTCATGTTTGTGAATTTTTGGTAAACCATACATGTGAGGTAGACGTGAACCACGTGGTCTTAGATCGTTGTACGTAGAATTATCAATCATTTTCTTTTTTAGAAGTTCTCTGAGCATTCCTGTGATTCGTTTTTCTGTTGAATCAGTCAAATCTTTTTTGGATTTATCTACCTTGAACCTAAGTTGATCGTCTAGGATTGACTTCATCTTAGTTACATAATCAGCTGTATCTATTAAGACTACACCTGAACCTTTATCCGGTCGTAGAATCATCACCTCATTATTTTGTTTGATGTTTCTTAGGGCTGTTAGATGTTCTTTGGATAGAACATTCGACTTTGGTGTCGATGACACGAAGTATTGGTTGGCAATATCAACTAACTTTGATTTGAACCATCCTTTCTTTTCCTCATTCATTGGTTGCAAATCTTTTAACTGGTCAAACAGATTTTCAAATTGAGCTTCTGTATCAATCCTGTCCGTATTTGTTTTTGGTATATGAAATTTGAGTCCAAGTGATAAGGCTTCTGTTTCTATACTATTGAGCTTCGTATTTGATAAGTTATAGATAAACTTCGAAGGGTTTTCCGGAAACCCTAAACATAGTTGTTCTCTTAACAGAGTTTTCGATAGAGATTTATGGAAATCCTTGCAAACCTTGATTTGAAGATCACGAATGAAGTTCATGAATTTTATTCGACATACGATGTTTAAATCATTAACGGCTCTAACAAAAGCACTGGCCTCAGTCCTTAGTTGTGTAATGAGTAATTTTGTCGATTCAATATGAGATTTGGTAATGCGTCTTAGGTTTTTAAGCGATGGTGGAAGTTTACATGAACGTAAAGATTTTACAAACTGCCGTGGGAAATAGCCTGACGTGAGACATTCTCCATAAAACTTGACCCTTGTCACTTCTCTTGATATTCTGCAGCGTACTGTCACAAAGTGATTTAGTGACTTAAATAACTGTTCAGGGAGGCGTTTTTTGAGAAATTTCATACACATAGTTCCCTTTATCATTTTGAAAAGAGCTAGAACAAAGATGGTTGTTAATCTTTCTTTGCCTTGGTGACAAATATTCCTTCTCTGCACCATAAATTATTATTATTATTTTTGTACTTATTACATCATTGATTTTCATTATTTTATTTCTTCAACTACGTTTCAAATTAATAATCTTTTAACTGAACTCTACTCACTATATTCCTATCAAAATTTTTTATTTTTTTTTTACTCATTATGTAATCAATTGTTTCTAACCCCTTTTTGAACTGTTGTCACAATTAATGATGTAGAATATTCTTTCACATTAGGTATATATTTACAATATTCAGTATATTAATTTCATTTACACCCTTGCTACACTATACGAATATGTCTTCTATATAACTTCTAACAAAATCCTCTCATGTAAGTCATTTAAACTCATTGTCTTATTATGATTTATAAATATAACAGGTTGTAAGCAGCTGATGAGAACCTACGAAATAAAATGAATTCATGCTATTCTGCTAAAATCTTTGTTCTAGCTCTTTTCAAAATGATAAAGGGAACTATGTGTATGAAATTAGATGTTTTCGTTAACCTGGCAACTGTAAAGATTATTATTCGTCTATCAACAATAGAGGTTCCTATATAAATTTAGTCTTCCTCCATTAAGTAACTGATTGATGTGACAGTTTTTTAACTCAAGACATTCATAATGAAACAAAATCAATTAATATATGCTTATTATTAGACAAAAAATAATTTCAATAGTTGAAATTATTAGTCAATCGAAGCTAGACCACCATGGAAAACCTGGACGCAAAAAAACGGCCGTTTCTTCCTAGTATGGAACATGAACACTGTTGGATGCCGGCTGGCTCAGTGATCTAGTAGTTAAACGTTTGCGCGTGAGACTGATTAGTCCTGGGTTCGAATCTCGCGGGGTGCGGGATCATGGATGCGCATTACTGAGGAGTCCTATACTAGGACGAAACGGCTGTCCAGTACTTTCAGGTTTCCGTGGTTGTCTAGTTTCAACTGACTCATGATTTCCACTATTAGATTTACTATAATATCCACAAAACCCCTTCTGATAAAAAAAAAAAACAATTTAACCAACTTTGATAAGTTGTCCTTCTCGAAATGGTAATTCTTCTTGTGCACCATCAATATTTGGTGACATAGTAGTTGGATCATAATCATATAAAGCTACTACAACTTGTATTGGTTTTAATTCACTATGACCCATTCGATTTGAATAATCATCATTAAGATCTAAATAGAAATTAAAGTGAATAGGAAATATGTATTATAGTAAAATTAAATGTATCATTACAATTAAAGTATAATGAGTATCTTCAATAGTTGACCTTATGAGTCAATTAAAGTTAGACTACCATGGAAAAACCTAGAAGCACTGGACGTTCGTTTCAACTATTGAAATTACTAAAGTCAGTCAGTAACAACGTAGAACTTTGTACGTACATACATCAGTTCGAGTTGCCACACCACATTTGCACACAGATACAATTGTCGATTCAAATCCCGTAGTGGTAGAGATGGTAAGAGTATAAACAGTAATAGGAAACATTAGGGTTTGAAGATGTTATTCAAGAAGTATAATCCAGTGAAAGAAATTTGGAAAGAGAAAAACAAAGGGACATGAAGAATTTTGAAGATTAGAATTTGGGAGAACATAAAGAGTGGATGCACCTGTGCACACCATTGCAAACGATTTTGAGCCATGTTACATTCACGATCTCTAACCATCAGTTGCGGTCGTTTCATGGATCCCAACCAGGTAGTCTACAACATTCTACAACACTCTTCCCCCTTGATGTTTCACATTAACTCGGAATCCATATACTGTGAAACTATTCGATCAAATTTAGACAAAAGTTCCTCTTTATTATTCTACAATCGCGTCAAATTATTAAAGAAAATGTACAATTTGTAATATAATACACAGCTATGTCCTATCACATATGATCGATAGCAGTCAACTGGTAGATAGATATAAGTCATTTAATATGATTTATCGCATTCCTACTAGTTTTATTTATGGGATTCGATCTCATCTCGTACACATAGAAGAAGCTATAGGGATTCTAGCCAACAATCCATGTCTTTGTATTCATAATTAATTTGAAACACCTTTATCTCTTATTTAAAGTAATCAGTCTGAATAAAAGATTTATGTTTTTCCATACTGTTTGTTCGTTTATGTTTCTTCAACCTCCTATCTTTCTTAAATATAGGCTTCATGGTTCACTTCTTATTACGTAATCTTGTTGTTTTTATGAATGTTAATTCAGTATCTATATTTTTCTAATCACTGACCTGTTTCCGATTATGTAACATTGATTTAAAACTCCGCCTGGAGTCCCTCCGGGGGCTACTGCGGGTCCAAAGCCCGGATAAAGGGGGGGGGTTGAGTGTGTGGTTAACGACCCCATCCAGTAGAAAATTAACTCGCTAAAGAAAACGCTAACCAGAAAAAATTATTCAAACTATTTAAACTCTGCCCTGGGAGTCAGAAACTCTTCTTTTAGAAGAGTTATGACGCCTCATGGTGAAAGCCCAGTTCCTTTGAAAGTCACGATGCTGATGCCCAATCTAACAACCAGAGCGACCATTAATTTAGGTACATGGAATGCTCGTATAATATGGGAGACCGACAGAGTCTTCTGAATTGCTGCAACATTGATTTAAGTTATTATTATTATTATTATCACAGCTAGTGCGCCTGTCATCATATTATACTGAGAAAGAACACCAGTGGGGACAAACGAATGTATTTGACACTAAATCACAGAGCATCTCAATAAAATCTGAGAACCATATAGTAAATAGTTAATTTACAAAATATCAATCCATTGTCTTAAAATTTACTGTTCCTTTTGCAAATATCAGTCCATTGTGTCAGATTTCATTGTTCATGAATTTTAATAACAATTATGTTTCGTTCCCTTCCCGTTCTTTCTTTATCGATCTTCAGGTGAAATACATTCTATGCCTGACTACCATTATATACTACTTGTGTGGATATAAGTAATCCACACCACAATACTATCAATTTGTACTTTCTACTTATTATGTTTATTCATGTAACCTATTTCATTGTTACCACTGACTCATAAATTGCCTTTATTAATTTAATAGTTTCGTATATGCACACGCAAGAACAAATACAGAAGAAGAACACCAGTGTAGCAGAAGCTTCAGCAGCAGTAGATCTCAATATACACAAAGGGCAAAACAAGATTCTCAGATACAACACAACATGCACCAATCGAATCACACTTGACGGAGAAGATTTGGAAGGTGTAAAAACCTTCACATATCTGGGCATCATCATTGATGAATATGGTGGATCTGATGCGAACGTAAAGGTGAGAATTTGCAAAGCAAGGAACGCATTCATACAGTTGAAAAACATATGGAATTCGAAATAACTATCAACCAATATCAAAGTCACAATCTTCAATACGAAAGTTAACACAGTTCTACTGTATGGAGCTGAAACTTAGAAAACGACTACAATCACTATTAAAAGGGTACAAGTATTTATAAACAATTGTCTGTGTAAGATACTGAATGTTTGTTGGCTGGATACCTTCGCAACAACCTACTGCGGGAGATAACAAACCAGCTTCCAACTGAGGAGGAAATTAGGAAAAATCTCTAGAGTTGGATAGAGGGAATACTGAAAAAATGATCAAATTGCATTGCAAGGAAAGCGCTAACTTTAAATCTCGAAGGCTAAATAAAAATGATAGACCAATGAACACAAGGCATCGTGAATCGGAAGCAGCCTATGCTTCTCCATAAGGGGTACCAGGCATAAGTGTCAAAGTGTATGAATTGTCATAACTCATACACATTTCTAATTATAACTGTGATCACATATCCCCATAGGCAATATATATCACTATTCACAGAATAATTAACTTCTACCACACTTCCGAAGTGTTGTAGTAACTCAACGAAACATTGATAGTAAATTCAGTATCGTTGTTAGTAAGTAGTCATTAATGTTTATCTAATGATACCATGTTGAATTTGTTTATGATAAGTAACTGTTTAGATTGATTGCCATTTTGATGAGCTTGGATAAACTGCTAAATCAATACGAGAAAGTATAAGGTGTATAGAATGTTTAAGAGTTTAAACTTTATTACTAACTATTCCAGTGTCAATAGTTGAGATCATGTGAGTCAATTGAAGCTAGACAACCATAGAAAACCTGAAAACATTGGACGGCCGTTTCGTCCTATCGTGGGACTCCTCATCAGTGTCTTTTTCCACCGAGAAAACGAAGTTTGGATATTTCAGACATTGTTTATGAATTCATGACTAGACAATAGTAGATTGTAATCACATATAATACCGGATCAAATTATAAAAGTTCACTTGTTAAAAGATTGATAGAATGTCTAAACTTTTCAAGGATAAATTGCTATGTAATTGAGTTTAAATAATTAAAATGGATAATAGTAATTCTTACTTCTTTGGTTTCTACCATATTGTTGTTCATTTTGTATAAATGATTTATTTGATCGTGAATATTGTGATCCAACTGCTTGTCTTAAACTACTTCCTTGATCACCTGATCTACAGTTTTTAATGTTGCCTTGATTAATTGGAGGTCTGTATTCATGTTGAGTTATTGGACCGGATGCTGGTGATGGTATGTTATAATGAAACTGTCTCTTTGGTCCAGATGTATATGAATCTGATGGTACTACAGGACGTGGATAGTCAGGATCATGACGTGTTGTTGAGTAGTTAGAAATACTCATCTGAGGATCATATGAACCATGTCGTCTGGTATCCATAAAACGAGATCGAATAGGTCTAGTTGGTCCACGAAAATCCTGGTAGGAATACCGTGACTGTTGTTGATAGTGATCATTTGCTTGAAATTGTGGTTCATTATCTGATAAACTACTATTCCGTGTTATTTCTGGATAACAGAAAATAAATATCAGTTATTGTATATTGATTTGAAAATGACTTTTTAGAAACTTTCCAACATAATGGATTAAAATTATAATATTCAGAAATTATTCACTCTATAAGGGATCAGTAATTCATAGAAAAAACTGATAAAATGTTGTGTAAGATATTTTATTTTGATCTATTTAACATTTGATCAGCTTCATCTCCAGACTATCTTAGACACACTGAGTTAAGCCATTAACTGCGAATACCATCATGAGTTGAGCTTGTTCTCGTCCAAATGAAAAAGGAAGACAAATAGTCTTATCTTGGTTACTATACAACTGTGGTCATCTCAGAGATGTCATAATACCAAACGGTTGAGATGAGAATTTACGGGACAACTGTAGAAATAAATCTCATAAAAATGTATAACCATACGTCTTTATTATATGAGTACTGTATTCTTCAATGATATGTCAGCTAATGCAATCATAGCTCATTGAGTAGTCATCAAAGAAAGGAGGATAGAAAATTATCTATATTACAATGAATGTCCATCTTCAACTTGAGTCTTGGATGAATTAACTGAACAGTTTGTTATTTCATCAACTGATTTCATATACTTCTCTAGAATTTTCATAAAGTATACCTAACCAAACGATAGCTTGATGACACGACTACAGATGATACTAATAGTCCATTACTGTGGATAAACTCGCTCATTTTCCCACATAATTTTACCAACTTTCAACTACCTGTCAAGTCCACTAGGACAACTGCAGCTAAATTGAACGCACCAGGACTACAACATCAAAGTATGAAGTTAAATGAATGAGATGGTTTATATTAGCTCTTCATGAGGGTCATGGATTGTAAAAACCATTAATATTAAAATTTATTTCATTTGCAATTCTAAATAGCTAAAGATTTTGAACTCTACCGTTCAACTATGATGAGAGGTCAAAATTACCAATCATAAGTGTTTGTTATCTGAAAAACAGTATTGTTTATATGAACGATAATTAATGACAAAAATAGTTGTGTGACAGTTTCTCTTTTGAATATCATAATACTGTGGTATGTGCTACTGATGTCAACAGATATAAGTAGTATGTATCATCGATCGAAAGTGAAACACCTGGAGGAAGAATGTTAAGAAGATGGAAGAGAAGAGAATGAGAACTGGGAGTAATTGGTATGCTGTAAAAGTCTCGTGTTAAAACAAAACGACTATTCAGTGTCTCTTAGCTTTTAATAGTTATCTAGTTAAAGTTAGTTTATGCTGCAAAACTATAAATGTTTAGTTCAACAATATATCTAATGTATTTCTGACATCCAAATCTAGGGATGCTTTCTTAGTCTTTAGCTATTTAAAACAACGGAAACTTTTAAATGATCATGAGATAAAGATTGACCTAGAATACCCTAGTATGGTTGAGGGTGGGGGAGGATCCGCTCTCCTTTTCGAAATATTCTCACATAGCCTCATGTATACAACCAATATCAGGGAAGTCCTACTTACTGCTTTCTTGTCGTAGGAATATTGTTTATGAAATTCAGAGAATGAAAAGCGAATATCTGGCTCTTTAACCGGATTCATGGACACGAAGGGATTATCTAGTGGAGTTAAAAAAACTCTGAATTCAAACCAATAGTACACATGGGCTCCAAGACCCTGAGGGTATAAAAGACGTATGAATCTATTGTTGGTCACCGGTTACTACGGAACTGCACCCCTCAAAGGTGATCCACTACCTTGTGGACTAGACCTCGAGGTCAAAGGTTCGAAAAGCGGCCCCCTAGGAAACCATCTGCTTCAGATTAAGCGTCTGAGCAGTATGTCAGTTGTCACACAAATCAAATGACGAAGTGTGACATATATATATATATATATATATATATATATATATATATATATATTTGGTGCCTCCTTGCACCTACCTCTATGTGCCTAAATGATAATAATAACTAATCGATGAAGATTGAATTATGCATGCAAAATAAGTACTCTATCTTTGTCTTTAACGTATTATTGGCCCCAAGTGCCCTGGTACTGTTGACGGTGGGGACAGTCTTCTCTACCTCTTGAAATAGATATGTAGTATTTGCATATGACACCTACTTTATAATTTTTTACTCTCTGGACTTTTATTCATAAATGTTTCCGAAAGATTAAAACATTTTCACAAAGAATTCCACATATACAGTTATACAATTCCATGATGATTTCATAGAAAACTAATGAGATCTTTTCACTGTTATTTTTTTTGCATTTATCGCGTTATGAATATTTGAATAATAGCTTTTAGTAATTAAATTCATGAGTCAATTAAAGTTAGACTACCACGGAAAACCTGGAAGCATTGGACAGCCGTTTTATCTTAGTATGGGACTCCTCAGTAGTGCTCATCAACGATCATACATGTGGGACTAAAACTCAGGACCTTCAATTTTGCAGGTGAACGCTTAACCTCTAGATCACTGAGCTAGCCAGAATCGAACGGTGTCAATATCTAACTTCAAACAATCCACGAAATTGCGCTACCATCTTCCATTGTACTTATATAGGTACCTGTCTCTACCCGACACAGATTAGCTGGGTTCGAATCCCGCGAGCGGGATCATAGATACGCACTGCTGAGGAGTCCCACAATTGAACGAAACGGCCGTCCAGTGCTTCCAGATTTTCAGTGATGGTCTAACATCAATCGGTTCATGATCTCAAACAAAGAAAAATACACAAATTGATGACAGATATTGATTTTATTCACTCACTAAAATATAGCTGAAGACGTTCATTTGTACATAGATTTTACTGTTAGTTGGATGGACGTAGGTGATGTGAAATTCTTGATTCATGTTTTTTTGCTAGTTGGCACAAGTCAATATGGCGTATCTGTAATCTTTTGACAACTAACTCTCCTATTAGTTATTGAAGCTACGATGATTTAAGTCTGCAGTTGTAGATGTTACTATTGATATGTGTGGCCTCCTTTAAAACTCATATGTTTAGAACTGAGCGATTAGTGATGAATGTCATAAAATCCAATCAACCAAGTTCCCTCAAGATCATAGGTACTCTTTGTTGATAAGTTTCAACTAATACAGAACCTAATTCCAAGATTTTCTGTCGGCTCTCTATAATCACCTAGCACCTTAATACAGTGTATGCAATGTTGTTTCACTATAACTAGTATCCAAATTACAGCTAGATAAATGGAAATCGATCAGCATTTAAAGGACTAGTCAAATATGATCTTAGTTTCAACATTTTGACCAATCAATTATTGGTTTTGATGATTATTTGATATTTTCAGGAGGGGATTTTGTGGAAATCTTTAGTAATTTTATAGTCGATTTCATGAGTCTATTAAAGCTAAAGGATTATGGGAAACCTGTAAGTACTTGATGGCCATTTTGTCCTATTATAGGATCCTCAACAGTACGCATCCGCGATCACGCCCCCTCAAGATTCGAACCCAGGACCTATCTGTACGTTATAAATAACTGAAAATAATGGTAATAGAAAACAGGACTTACACTGATACGGATGTTAAGTTTTATATGGACCACATTTAACAGTGAATAATAATATTAGATAAATATCACACTGAATTCAAACATGATATTACTATTTATTCTATCCTAATAGAAATTCAATACCTTAACTTTTAAACCATTACTCAGTGTACTAAACTATGCACTACAATAAAACAGCAGCTACTCACGTAGTAAACAAGAACACGAGTAAAGGCAGTCGAATATGAATATATGGACACGAGATATCAGAATAACTCACTGAAGTTGGAGAACCATATAGTAAGTACTTCATTTACAAACTGTCAACCCATTACCTCAAACTTGACTGTTTCTTTTGCAAATATCAGTCCATTGTCTCAGATTTCATTGTTCCTACATTTTCATACTAATTGCCTTCCATTTCCGTTCTTTCCTTCTCGATCTTCCACTGAAATACATTCTATTTCTGACTATCGTTATATACTACTTATGTAGATATAAGTAGCTCATACATACTCATATAATTCAGTAGTTATATCTTAGACTGCGCTACAAGAAAAATGTCTTCAAAATTAAAGAAAACACTTTAACGATTTAGCGGTGTTAAAACTCATCGAGTCTAGATCACTAGACGTCTGTTTTGTCTTAGTATGGGACTCTTCAGCAATGTACATCCTCGATCCCGCCACGCGAGATTCGGATTCAATAATATTCATATATCTGAATTTGATATAATATAAGCATTACAAACATACATAATTGACAACATTAAATATTTATATACTTACGTATTTCCGGTAATGAGAGATTTTCATGAGGATTAACATGACCAGAATAATACTGTTTGTTTAAAAGAAAAATATGGATAAAGAAATCAGATAAGTCATGCATAAAATGGATAATAGAATATTGTAAATTCATTAGACATATTTAACAGACATGTATATGATATATGAACATGAATAAAAAACAAAGTTATGTGCACAAGTACAACAAATATTGAGGAAAGCACCCAACTACGTCACAATCCAATCTTTAAGGCTAAAGGAATAGTGGAAAACCAAAACAACATATTACCCTGAGAAATGGGAACAGATATGAAAAGAATGAACAAAAATTAGACAGAACTAGAAAGGAAAACCCAAGACAGAGTGAGTTGAAGAATGTTGGTCGGTGGACTATACTCTATTGGAAGTAACAGGCGTAAGTAAGTAATTATAGTTAAGATCAGAAACTGATCAATATTAAAACATTACTGGAAACCCAAAAGCACTGAACGGTTGTTTTATCCTATTGTGGGACTGACTTCTCAATAGTGCACATCCACGATCCCTCTCCGCAAGATTTAAACCCAGCTAATTCATATCACGTAAAGACAGGTATCTATCTAAGGAAGATAGTCACGCAATTTCGTGGATTGGTTAAATTTAAACATTAACATGCTGGCTAGCTCAGTAGTGCAAAAATTAATCGTTCGTGCACAAAACTGAAGGCCCTGGGTTTGAATCACACGAACGGGATCGTAGGTGCATACTGCTGAGGAGTTTCACATTAACACAAAATAGCCGTCTAGTAGTCTAACTTCAACTGATTCATGATCTTAACTAATAGAATTACTACAATCTCCACAAAACCCCTTCTGATACTAAATTGGAATCAACAACAACAACAACAACAACAACAACTCATATATCATGATATAACCAATACGGAACAGTGTCATTTACAACAGCAAAACATTAAGACAACAATAAGTTTATGTGTGCTTCTAACAACAGTTTTCATGCTCAACATATGAAATCTTTGTGTGTATGTGTAAGTGTGTGTGTGTGTGCGTGTGGGTGTGTGGGTGTTTTATTTATTTGTTTATTTGTTACCCTTTCTCTAATTGGCCATCGTCGATTTTCAATTCCTAATGATAATGGATGATAATATTTAGATATTCTATGAATAGGTCTATTTAATGTATAATCATCTATTTTATTATATTTAGATGAATGAATGAATTCATTGAATTGATGTAAATGTTTAGGACTTGTACTACGACTTCTTATATTCATAATATACATTTCAGGTAATGAAATTTTATTTCTATCATTCTGTTGATTGAATTTTATTCGATTAAAATATTTTTCATCATTTGATGATGATGATAATAATGGTAAGAGATTTTGTTTGTTTATATATCGATTATTTGAATATTGATTTAATAATTGTCTTGATTGATGTTTTAATAATATGATTGATTTATTCTCTGGTGATATTCTTCCATTATATGTATAACTTTTAAAAGACTTGGAAGGATGATATTGATTTTTATAAAGAGGATATCTTTTTTTATTATTATTATTATTATTATTATTATTATTATTATTATTATTATAAAGATAATGTATATGTTTACTATGATTAGTATGATATCGATTTCGTTCCCTTTTATTGAATTGTCCTAATGTATTATGATATTCATAGGGATAATATTTATGATCATCTAGATTCATTCTTAATACACCACGTGGTTTCCATTGACGATTTGGATAATCTGCTGTTAAATTATATGAGGATGATGTACGAAACCATTGATTATTATTATTATTATTATTGTTTATTATTGAAGTATCACTTGATATAGAACTATTCAATGATCCATCTTCATCATCATCATCATCATCATCATCATCATCATCTACATTATCATCATGATCACTATAATAAATATTTTTAAATCGATCCTCTTTTAAATTTAATTTATAATCATCTGATATTGATCTAGTTTGATAAAATTTTGATTGAAATTCATGTAAATAATATGGATAATACATTTTAGAATATTGATTATATTGATTTATTGATGATTTATGATTATAAGATGGATCGCATATTGATTGATTGATATTATTATTATTATTTTTTTTAAGTTTTATAATTTGATTATGATTATTTATTTTAGTGAGTGAATTATGATCCGGTAATGAATGTGGATCATTATTATTATTATTATTATTATTATTATTATTATTATTATTATTATTATGATCATCATCTTTTAACTCTTGTTTTTCTAACTTACGACGAAGTAATAATGCCTATATTAAGAGAAAAAATTTCATTATAAATCAATGATAAAAATCGATATTGATTGGACTGATTCGTTTCTGTTATTCTTTATGACTGCCAATTAGGGAGTAATGAATTATCCATTGGACTAATGGGACCAATGATACATAAAACACATACGAGCAGTCCAAAGTCTTCATTGATCTTGCTTCCTGACTAGCTCAGTCAATATGAATTATTATTATTATTTTTTTTCAAACATATGGGGTTTATATACCAATCAAACAGACCACATCGTACCGATAAAATAGGAAACAACATTTGTACAAGAATTAGCCAAATATGGCTGTGAATGTGGGAGATAGTAATCGATAGACTGACCATAAGTCAAGAATGGTAAATCGTATTATAATAGTTCATAGATCAAAATAAAACTCATAATAAGATGGACATGAATATGAACAGTTTGGTTATTTAACAATTATACGATAAAAATATACGTATAGTAATAGTCCATAAATGGATCCTAAAAGTTACCATTCGTTATGAGCTAATTGATTAGTTTTCATATATGTTTATGTGATATATATGTGGTGTATTGATGAAGACTTCAACATCCGGGGGGAGGGGAAGACCATGGGATACAGTGGACAGCTAGGATACAGCTAGATGATCTAAACTTTCCAGATGATCTGTCTCTTCTATCACACACGCTACAACACATGCTGGAGAAAATGAACAGTGTAGCAGTAGCCTCAGCAGGAGTAGGTCACAATATACACGAAGGAAAAAGTAAAATTGTCCAATACAACACAGCATGCAACAACCGAATGACACTTGACAGAGAAGATTTGGAAGATGTAAAATCCTTTACATATCTGGGCAGCATCATTGATGAACATGGTGGATCTGATGCAGATGTGAAGGCGTGAATCGGAAGCATATTTACAACTGAAGAACATCTGGAACTCAAAACAACTGTCTGTCAACTAACACTAAGATCAGAATTTTCAACACAAATGTCAAGACAGTTCTACTGTATGTGGTGAAAGCTTGGAGAACTACGAAATCCATTATCCACAAGATACAAGTGTTTATTAACAGTTGTCTATGCAAAATACTTCGAATCCGTTGGCCAAACACTATCAGCAACAACCTGCTGTGGGAGAGAACAAACCAGATTATAGCGGAAGAAGAAATTAGGAAGAAGCGTTGGAAGTGGATAGGACATACATTGAGGAAAGCACCCAACTGCAATATAAAGCAAGCCCTCATCATTTGGAGTCCTCAAGGCTGGAACAGAAGATGAAGACCAAATAACATACTACGGCGAGTAATGGAGACAGATATGAGAGGAATGAACAAACATTCGATAGAACTAGAAAGGAAGGGCTAAGACAGAGTTGTTTGGCGGCCTATGTTCCATTGGGAGTAACAGGCTTAAGGAAAAAGGATACATGTGGTGTATGATACTTATGTCAACAGATATAAGTAGTGTGTAACACCAGTCAAATGTGGAACGTCTGGGAGTAGAAGGTTGAGAAGATCAAATTGAATAGAATACGAAATTAAATAGAGAGTAATTGTAATAAGAACAAGAATGAAGGAATGATGACGTCTCTAAAAGATAACAACTGATGGAAGATATGCAAATAATGTATATAATATATGGGTATTTTATTTTATAAAAGTATTTTATAATTTTGCATTAAACAATAAATAACTTGTGGACTTGTACCCTATTAATATATTACGTAATGATACCACCAATTACAGAACAGTGACTTAGCGACTGGACCAATGGTGTATAAACCCATAAGAGTAGTTAAGAGTCCTTGTCGATCCTTCTTCCTTTTCAGCTCTGTCTATTGCGTCCAGAACATCAACCTCAACCTCGAAGATATGAATCATGTATTTCAAACATACTGGGTTTATATACAAACCAAACAGACCACATCGTACCATAAAATAACAAACAACATTTGTACAAGATTTAGTCAAATGTGGCTGTGAATGTGGGAGACAGTAATTGATAGACCAGGCATAACTCAAAAATGGTTAATAGTATAATAATAGTCTATAGGTCAAAATAAAGCTTATAATAAAAAGGAAACGAATATGAATTGTTTAGTGACTTAACAATTATACGATAAAAATCGATGTATAATATTAATCCATAAATGGATTCCAAAAGTTACCATTCATTATTCTCGTCGGATATATTATATAGTTTTGATGGAGATCATGAACCGATTGATATTAGACCACTATTGATAACCTGAAGGCCGTTTCGTCTTTGTGTTGGACTCCTCAGCAGTGCGCATCCATGATCAAACCTAGGGTCTTCGGTCTTTCAAGCAAATGCTTAACATCTAGACCACTGAGTTGGCCAGAATTGCGCGACTATCTTCCATTGTACTTAAGTAAATACCTATTTCTACTCGACACGGATTAGCTCCAAAAGAATGAATGATGGTAAGATGATTAAATATGTATTTTCTTCTTTTCGTTTTTGTTCATTCTATGTTTACACGTGAATAGATGACGAACTATATATTTATAAATATGAATAAATGGTTGTTTTTAAGAGCTGAAATATTAAGTCAAAAGTCAATAAACATTCCTTTTAAAGGTATATCTGTTATAAAAAGAGTGAAGAAATTCACTTGATGTTGTATACTTGTTTCTTGTTTGCTTATAAAGCTTATAAATTAAGGCAATATCGAGGCATTACGCACAGTATGCACATATGCCAACATGAGACTGATCAATTGTAGTCCAAAATAACAATGGGAAGATACTTCACCCCATTACACAAGCACATAGCTATCAGGAATCAGTAGGTAAGTAGATAACACGATGGTGTTTGAAACGAATGGTACTGGATTCGAGTTTCAGAGTGAAGTCTAAGATGCAGGCAAATCCAGCTGACGAGTCCCATATAGGACGAAACGCGCGTTTTGGATTCCATTACTAGCCATTATCCATCTTTGCTTATAGAATAATAATATAAGTAGAAAATTTGATTATAAAATCAATACAAGTTAACATGTTTCACCTTATATCTGACATCAATCAAAACTTTTACTGATTCTTATCGAAATATACATCATGGCTACTCTTGTATATAAACATCGACTTAAGTTACATTAATGAATAATGAAATTAAATAAGTCAAAGATGAGAATGAATGTTTTGAATACATATATTCCATACAATCGCTGATTTAGATAGAGAATCAAAGAAACGATGCGAAACAATACAGTAATAGAAGGCAATTGAGTTAACTTCATTTGATAAAGCGTAAATCAATATTTATATTCAGACAAAAATAAACTTCAGATAGGTCATAAATAGAGTATGAAATTAACATATACGATCATATAGATGACACTGAAGATTAATAAACGAATAAGTAATCAGGTCAAAATATGACTTGAGAAGAATGAATGAATTGATTTGTTTAAACGCTAGAATAACTTTATATGTGCTTGACATAGTATCATCCAGTACAATTACAAAACAGATCATACAAGAAGTTATCTAGATATCGTAAGTATGATAATCCCAAATGTTTAGTTTTATACGATAAATAAATTACATCTGAAAGTGACCTTTAGACCATTGAGCCGACCGGCATCCAATGGTGTTCATGACTAATTTCAACTAATTCACGAAATTGAACGACACATCGACTATTGTCTTCAATGAGTTACTATCTCACAACAGACCCAGTTGAATTCTACTGATCACTGTTTCTCACTAGAACTCCAGGAAATACTTCATGAAGGCAGTCACTAGTGAACATATGTTGATTAATATCAAAAAGAAGTTTTTGTAGATATTATAGTAATTTTATTAGTTAAGATCATGAGTCAATTGAAGCTAGATCACTGTGGAAAACCTGTTAATGTCAAATATCCAGTCATATAAATTAACAGATAATAATAATAATAATATTAATCAAAAACTGGTGGTTACATAATCACATATTAACTTACATGAACTTATTGTATGTGAGCCAGTTAACGGATACAAATGAAATTATTTAACAGATAAAACAATTTAATTATGATTTTCAATAGTTGAGATCATGAGTCAATTGAAGTTAAACCAACATGGAAAACCTGGAAGCACTGGATGACCTGGCGCGAGACTGTTTGGTCCTGGGTTCGAATCTCGCGGGGGGCGAGGCCATGAATACGCACTGTTGAGGAGCCCCATACTAGGACGAAACAACCGTCCAGTGCTTCTTGATTTTCCATGGTGGTCTAGCTTCAATTGACTCATGATTCCAACTGTTCAAATTACTACAATCTCCACAAAACCCCTTCTGATACTAATTTAATTGTAATTATAATTTTTATGTCAAAGAATGGTTACTTTCTTCCGGTAACTAGTAATTTCTGTGTATAAATTCATAAACACTGTTAAAAGTAACTTCAACTATTAGCTGATTTGAACTTTTATCGTTAAGTTTATAATGATTGTGTTTCTTGATTCTGTAATCAGTCATAAAAATTTTTTAACAGTATAGAGGTTGTGAAGATTATTAAGTTTTTTGATTGAGATCATGAACTGATTAATGTTAGATCACCGTTGGAAACCTGAAAGCCCTGGACGGTTGTTTCGTCCTATTTTGAGACTCCTCAGCAGTGAGCATCCACAATCTTTCTCACGAGATTCGAACCCAGGGCATTCAGTTTTGATTCATTTCAAGTTTATGAATTAAAGTATTCTAAATAGTTAACTGTATTTGTATTTGTATGAACTATAAGGGATATATGATGAATAGTTTGATATTATTGGTATCAGTATTGTAAATTGTTCATGAACTTATGAAATTAAGTTCAGTATTATTAGATTTACATATTCACTTTAAGGAATTGTTCAGTTAAGCTGATAATGTAAGTAAAGTAAGTGACATTTTAGTAAATGCAGAATTTATGTTCATGCATGTAAGAAGTAAACTATTAAAGTATAAGGTAAGTTATATAGGGTCATGTAGTTCAATTTAAAAGTTACCATAAAACAACTTGGTTGGGGTCCGCGTGACTATCATAACCAATGCTTGGAGACTCTGGGTGACATGGCTCAGAATCGATCACAATGGCGTCGTTGCATACACTTTCTGTCTTCCCTTAAACTAAGAGATTAAAATCGCTTCATATCTTTCTTTCTACAAACTTATTCTTTATTCCTGTATTGTGTCCTTATACACAAACTTTCTTTTATATATTATCATCATTGAATTAAATACTTCTATGAATCCGGTGTTGATCTTGTTGTACTAATGAGGTATAACAACTTGAACCGATGCATATATGCGCCTGAGCCTACGTTGTAGCTGACTAACTGACTGAGATAATTTAAACAGCTTTGAAAAAAAAACTTTATATAATGAAGACTTACTTCAGCTGAACCTAAAGCATCAGCTGTTGGACTAGGTTTACGTACAACAGTCTCAGCTGATACAACTAATAATCCATGATCTTCATCTGAATTGATATTTTCCACATTTTGATTATTTGCACGTGTAGTTGTCTCTTGTAAACCATCAAGTGATAAAGATACACCAGCTAGTTTAGCTGTATTTTCATTCTATGATATAAATATAAAAATAATGAAAGAGTTAATTAATTTATTAAAGAAATATGAAGGAAGAATACAAAAGTTTTAGTTCTTATTGTTATAACTTGTCAATTGAATTGCTGCTTGTTATATCTGGTCGTCGCTGATTGTTATAACAGAAACGTTTATCACTTATACTCGGAACGAGAAACCTCCGCAATTCCCACGACGCGAAAGTAAAAACACAAAGACTGGTATAAGTGAAGATTTATTAACCCCAAAACACGACGACGTCGACGACCACGACAACGACCATAGTCGAAAAACACACTCATTTATATATTGATTGTACAGCCATTTTGATTGATAATTAGAATGAAATGACATATATATGAAAAATCATATACTGAGCATAGTTCATGTCAATTGAATACAAGAATATCGTCCTGGGTTTGAATCTCGCGGGGGGGGGGCGGGATCGTGGACGCACTTTGCTGAGGAGTTCCATACTAGAACGAAACGACCGTCCAGTGCTTCCAGGTTTTCCATGGTGGTCTAGCTTGAACTGACTCGTAATTTCAACTATTGAAATATCGTATATTATACAGAATAAAATATCATAAGTGAATACAAACCGAATACTACATTGAATGATTATCGCATTAAATCAGAACGGAAGTAATGTTAAACCAAAACTCATAATGAGTAAATCAATCGAATTTTGACTTTACTTTCTATCATATCACTTATTATAGAATAAAATCAATATAAGAACTATTCAAAACTAGCAATACTGAATAACTGTTGAAATCTTCAACAATCCACTATTACTACTTCCAAATAGGATTGATTTGGGGCAAGAAGAATATACAGCATTATGTAACAAACTGATTGATTACGAATCCAATATTTTACATAGTTTGAATTTCAGATACTTAGTGACATTGCACAATTATTGTCTAACATGATCTGCTATCAATTTCAACCACAAGATTGTTGAGCTCCAGTAGATATAGCTTTAGAAATACTATCTAAAGTTAATTAGTAATAAGCAGAAGGTTGTTAAGAAGGTGAGACTCTATGGTATCATAACTTAACACTGATGATAATTGATCCGGTTAAGTTAAAAAAATACCATAAGTCATGTTGGTTTATATAAAGCTCTTGAATATATTTTTTATCATACAGTTACAAACGCTTGTCGTCAATTAAAATGAACGTTGCTATGGCAAATATAAATAATTTTATTAGTTGTATTCATGAGTTGATTCAAGCTAGAACACTACTGAAAATCTGAAATCACTGGACAGCCGTTCCGTCCTAGTATAAAACTCCTTAACAGTGTGTAGCCATGATCCCGTCCCATAGGGATTCAAACCCAGGACCTTTAGTTTCGCATGTAAACGTTTTACCTCTAAACCACTGAGTCATTATCAAACGTTATTAATGTCTAGATTTAATTGATTCATGATCTTGCATAACTCTCCATCCATTGTTCGAGGTGAATAACTTCCTTTACTGAATATGAATGGAACCTTATAGTAGGATGAAACAGACGTCTAGTGTAGTATGAGAGGGGGTTTTGTAGATATTATAGTAATTTTTAATAACTGAGATCATGAGTTAATTGAAGCTAGACTACCAAGGAAAATCTGGAAGCACTGGACAGCTGTTTTGTCCTAATTTGGGACCTCTCAAAAATGCACATCCATGATCCTGCTCATGGACTTCGAACTCAAGACCTATCGACCAAAAGATACATGATAATCACCAATAAAATTACAGAATTTACATGAGAATAGTATAAACTGGTTACAGTGTCAGTATAGATCAATCTTTTTCAATTATTTATCGTGTCAGTAAAGTTTTGCCAAGACTTGTCAGTGTTATGATTTGATGTCCGGCTTACGATCACGTGACTTATACACCAATCAGAATACGGCTTATACGAATATTCGCACTAAGACAAGACCAATGACGTTCAACCGGTCTGAGCAGTCTAGCGTCCTATTGGGTCCTACATCCTTCTAACCCGTCCTCTTGAATCCAGAACACAATACCAGTTTCTGAATCAACCAAATCGAACCAAATCATTTATTTCAGACATACTCGGTTTATATATCAATCAGGCAGACCACAACGTACCATAAAATAGAAACTAACATGTGTACACAAATAAGCCAAAAAGTGGCTGTGAATGTGGAAGACAGTAATTAATAAACTGAGCATAATTTAGGGACAGTAAATCTTACAATGATAAATTATAGGTCAAAGTGAAGCTTATGATAAGGGGAATATAAATATACATAATCTAACTATTAAATAATTACACCGTAAGAATATATAGATAATATTAGTCAATTAATGTCTCAGAAGTTACTCGTGATTTAATCTTCGCTCGGATATAACAGTCAGTCTTTCAAACGGTTGAAGTAGTAGCCATTAGGATGAAGAAACTTGAGTTATACGTACAAAAATATCTTCAACCGCTTTTCCTCCCCTGGCCAACCTCTAGGTCAATTAGTCAATAGTAATCTTAGATGTTGATGGACTAATTTAACGATTGTACTTACGACTTTGCATAGACAACTGTAATTTTCAGAAGGGGTTGTGTGGATATTATAGTAATTTTAATAGTTAAGATCAGGAGTCTGTTAATGCTAGACCATCATGGAAAACCTGGATACACTGGACAACCGTTTCATACTATTTTGGGACTCCTCAACAGTGCGCATCCACGATCCCATCTTGCCAGATTCGAACCCAAAACCTATCGGTCTCTCTCACGAACGCTTAACCTCTAAACCACTGAGCTGGCCGGCACCCAATTATGTTAATACCTAACTTCAACTAGTCCATGAAATTGAGTGATATGTCCACCATTGTCTTCAGTGACTTACTATCTCACAACAGACCCAGTTGAACTCCACTGATCACTGTTTCTCACTAGAACTCCAGGAAATACCTCATGAAGCCAGTCACTAGTGAGCTTCAACTGACTCATGATCTCAAGCATTGAAATTACAAAAATAATACATCCATATAGAGATATTGTTAATTTTACAAATAAGGTCATCAAAAAAGTATTAAATATCCCTTAATCCATGGATTTCTTTTCTAACAATAAGATTTAAATAGAGGTTAAGCTCTGGAGCTTGAAACCAATAGGTTCTGAGTTCGAATCTTATGAGGCGGAATCATGGATGCTCACTGTTGAAGAGTCTCATACGAGGACGAAACGCTTGTCTGATACTTCCAGGTTTTTCATAGTAGTCTAGCTTTAATTAATTGATGAATTCAACTATTAAAATTATTATAATATCTACAAAACAAACCCCTCTCTGATTAGAATGAATAATAGTTAACAAACAGTGGATCAAATCTACTAGATGATAGTTACAGATTGAATCATGTATTCCTAGGATTAGTTTGATATGGATTCGAACCACAAAAAGAAAATATTATTTCTTATATTAATTGTCGATATACTATTACTGACAGATGACAATTTTCATGGAAAGCAAATTTAGACATCTTAAAAAGAAGGATTCCTTTGAAATAGCAGATATGAAATAAAGAACAAAATGATATTGTGTAATTTGAACTAATGGTACTGGGCAGACTAGAATTTATGAATGAATCAATCAGATTTAAGATAACAGGTTTTGGATTATGGTGTGAAATTTATCCATCCATTGAGTTAAATAATGTTTTGACATTTTAGCTAATGTCAGTTTGTGATGACAAACTATAAATCTAATTTCTAACCTTAACCATCAACTGTAAATCATAATCTTGATACTTTAAATTGGTTTATAACATTTAACACTATTAAGTAGGTCAATGCTCCCTGACAAGGAAGTCCTACTCAATGCATTCTTGCGACAGGGATGTTGATTACGCAACTGAGAGGACGAAAAGAGTATGTCCGGTGCTATAAGCAAATTAATGGTCACGGAGAGTTCACCTAGAGCAGTTGGAAAATTCTCATTCCAAATCAATGGTGCACATGGACTCCATGATCCTGAGGTAACAAATGGTGTATGAACCAATTGTTAGTCACCGGCTACCATGCGAATACATCTTCTGACGTTGCTCTTTTTGTGGGAACCTTTATTTTGTCATCATCTAGATCTGACGATGTTTGTTGACGGGCTCTACACTTTAGTAGCCTGAGATCTGACTCCAAGTAGATCATATGAATGTTTGTTATCGCTTGACTTAAATCGCGTTAGTCAATAACGGAATTAAATGAGCCAAATAAAGAGAATGGTCTTTTGAATACATATATTTTGTATACGAAGCGAACGGAACATGAGAGAAGCGAAACGACGCGCAGTGGAGATGGCGTGTAAGCCAACTCCCATTTAACCCAACGTTAATCAATACTTATAGTTACACAAAATAAGTGATGAGCAATGGGATAAGAAGTGTATACACACCAACGCACTCATATAAAAACAGTCAAGATTGATAAGCGAATAATTAACAAGGTCAGAATATGACTCAAGTAGAATGAATAGATTGAGCTGTCGGAAAGCTAGAATAAGGTATATAGGCTTAACATAATAACTGACCCTATCTACACTCTACTACCTTAAGGATTAGACCTTTAGGTCAAAGGCTCCGGGTGTGGCCTCCTAAGTAAACCACCTTCTTCGGTTTGGGCAATCGGACAGTATCACAGTCTTCACACAAATAAATGATTACTGCTACTGGCTACATTGTTATTATGTAGCATATATGTAATTCGTATCTCCTTGTACCAATGTTTGTGTGTTTAAATAAATAAGTAAATATGTAAGTGGACACCTTCAAGATCACTATAGCGTTTCTCAAAGATCGTTTATAAATTATAATCTTACGAAAAATTTCTCTATACAGACATCATTACTCATTGAAAAGGGAAAAAAGATAGATGTAATAATGAAATGAATAGAATTCCGTTTTATGGTTCTTATCACTAATGTATTTTAGAAAACTAATAAAAATCAATAAATAATTGAATTAAATGAATAATTGGTCTTCCT